CCATGGAAAATGATACAGCATTTACACGCAGTATAGACAACCCTCCCATATAATATAAATCATCTCTACATCATTTAAAGTATCTAATAGAATGTATATATCTAAATTTCATTATACTGTATTGTGTAGAGAATAAAATCAAGCAAAGGAGATATGCACATATTTTGAATAGACATTTTTTTCCTGAATGTTTTTACCCTTTAGCTGGTTGAATTCATGAAGTAGAAGTCACAAATACAGAATGCCAATTGTACAGTATAGCTTCAATAAAGGGAACAATCTAAATGAAAGAATGAATGAAACTAGAAATATAGTATTTTAGGTAAAAATTCATCCTGAATTTTGTGCCATAATGATTTGAGTATGGCTGAACTTTAGGAGATTCATGGCATGGGCAAGCAGGTCTGACGTTTGTAAAGGGACAACATGAGGAAGAATCTGTGAGGCAGAATGATGATATGGAGCCCCGCCATGGGAACATTTCTGTTTGACTTTTTCTTTACCTTTCACTGTGAAAATATCATATAAATCATATATGTCATCCGTTATAGATATCCTTGCTACAATGCAGTGAATCAAACCTAGAGCCACGTGCATTCCAGGAACATTCTAGACAACTGAGTCACTCATTCCATGTCAGCCAGCTACAAAATTTCAGAGTCTCAACTTCCTAATCAGCAATAAGAATTTTAAAATTTCCCAGACAGATTGACTTACAGGAATTAAATATGTTAGTATATAAAGACCCTGGATCATGGCAGATACTCAAAACAGCAAATAAACTTAAAATCCATTGTGCTAGAGTTTTGTTCTATAATTCCAATCTCTAGCACTTTATGCATATTTGTATTATGTTATATATTATTATCCTTTTACCTTTATGCCTTACCATTTAAGATTTCTTCACTAGTGTGCTATGGACAGTTGTGACTAAAAGGGCAGCAACTGATTTTTAGATGAGGTATTTCTGTATTCCTGATTAGCTGAACATATTACCCATGTACATGAACGTGCCATGGAAAAGTCACAGAAATTGCCAGATGAACTTAACTGTGCAGGTGTGTGTGTGGAGGTCAGAACAGGATACCATAGTTACCATCCTCTGCCATCACTCCAAAGCTGTTTTCAATATCCTTTTATTATAATAAAGTATATTTCGTACTTATAAGTGCTTTTTTTTCAGTCTTGAAAATGATACTTACCCCACAATCCTGCTTTATCTGTGGCACAAAAGGGCTTCCTCTTGCTACTGAGGTCACTGGGGTGTGTAACCAACACCATGCACAGAAGCATGGTTTACTCTTTCATGTATTGCCGAACTCCAGTTCTAGAATATTTTTCCTTCTGGCTTTCAACAGACTTCCTATAAATCAAAGTATTGGCCCAGTAGTATCTGTTCATTAGAAACAGATCAAAGTTAATTGATCAAGTGAAGCTGGCATTCAATGGGAAACAAGTTGCAGTCTTGCAGAAGACTAAGTGACCTTCCTTTGTCTTAGGAATAGGGCTGCAGATGGAAATTCTAGACTCAAAATTAAGCCAACCATATCTTACTCCTTGAGGAAAGGGGAAACCACAGCCAATGGAATGCTGGAACACATTCCATGTGGCTGTGCATGTACACGACAGGATGCAGGCAGTTATGGGAAGGAAGAACGAAGATCAGTGTTCTCTGGGTACTTGTGAGTGATGCCCATGACCTGTTCTTGTGTATAGTGGTATCATAACTAGAACTCCTGCAGTTTATGCTGGTCAGAGACAGGAAAGAGAAGAGAGAAGGGGTAGTGATTCTGCTATTTTATTACAAGGACTAGTCTTACCTAAGAATTGGGTCATAGGGAAGGGAAAACTGCCATTGCGAAGATTCTCTGAATTCTTTGTTCTTGCAGAGATGAGACCTAGAATTATCTCAATCATTTTCAAGAGTATGCTAGTATGCTTGGAAAATACCCAGAACTTGTGTCCTGTGATGGATGAAAAATGGGTCATTCTACACATTCACGAGAATTTCAGCCTCAGCGTTGGAAGAGGAAGGTTCCAAAAAGCCCAAAAAGACAAAGACAAATCTTTCCCTAAAAGAGTCACAGTCAGTAAGACATCTTGCAGAAAGGGAGGCTGTCCTTACTGATGTCTAAATCATGCTGCTCCTCCAGGACAAGTTCTGTGCAGCAGACTGTGTGGGGAGGAGTAAAGCAAACGTGCTGGATTGAATAAAGTGAAGGATGCTACTGTAGATGACAAGATGCAGGGAGGTGGTCAGGGATGTCAGGGAAACTAGGGCACGATAGGAACAAACAACCATTATAGTTGGAGGAGCAAGAACTCTAAAGTACAAGAGGCACATAACAAAGGAATATTGGGGTGGCGATATTGTGTTTCTACCATACAGAGGACTATGCTAGGCCTTGAATACGGGGTGATGTGCAAATAGCCAATTGGGCAGTAAATCCCTGCTGGTGTAGGAGGTCCTTCTGTATTTGTGTTGCTTTCATTGGTTATTAATGAAACTGCCTTGGCCTTTTGATAGGGCAGCACTTAGAAAGGCGGGGAGAACAGAACTGAATTCTAAAAGGAAGAAGGCAGAGTCAGACAGAGAGCTGCCATGGAGCCTCCAGATCAGACATGCTGAAGTTTTCCTGGTAAGCCATGACCTCATGGTGAACACAGATTCAGATTCATAGAAATGGGTTAGATCAAGATGTGAGAGTTGACCAAGAAGAGGCTAAATATAATGGGACAGGCAGTAATTTAATTAATACAATTTCTGTGTGGTTATTTCAGGGGGTTAAGCTAGCCGGGCGGCAGATACAGCCTGCTCCTATTACAGCACCCTGCAATGGAAGATGATCACCTAAGTCATGGAGAGAACCAGTGAGGGACACGGTTCTTTAACTGAAGGTCCAATTTCTTTCTCAGGCTAGGTCTCCTTTCTCCATAAGAAACAACAGCTAATAACTGCAGTGTGTTCCCTCTAGCAAACCCCACATTATTCTGGGTGGGGTCACATTATATCCTCACTTCATAGTAAATGAAACAAAAGTTGAGAGAGATTATGTAACTCAGTACAGAACACATCAGTCAGATCCAAGATTTAATAATCTGTTTTTCTACCTGTAAAGTCCCAGTTCTTAATCACTAGCTAGGCTACCCTGGAATGTCACATGAGTTCATAACAAGAGTGTTTACCCACTGAGTAGCCCCATCACAGGTTACTCATGTTAGCAAATTAACTTACTGAGTTAACATGCATGACTGATAAGATTATTAAAACATGCAATCATTGACATACATAAATTCATAAATGGAAAAGGGCGAGTTGCTGTATTCACCCCAACAAGAGAAGCAATTCTGAATATTGCCAAACTGGGGTTGGGGGAACATTTTCATCAGAATTCTAGGAAGAAAAAAATGACTCAAGTGAGAAAGTTCATTCAAAGCATCTTTTTTTATTTGCTGTAAGAATATAACCTTCGTTTCTGCGTGCAAAAATATGGTAGGCATTAACAAACAGGGCAGACTCTCCACGTGTGTACATTGGTTGAACTAAAGTTCTAGCAAAGGCTGAAAAGACAAAACATATCTTAAGAGAAGAAAATACAGAAGGAGCACACATCCTTAATTTCCAAAACAACTATGAAAGAAAGAACAGTCCACTGAAGCCTAAAACCCAAGGCTGTAGGTTTTGAGAGATAGGGAAGGAGTGTTCCCCAATCTTGTCAATGTGTAGTCAAACAGCTCTGCGTATTCAGCATTAAAGCCCCTGCATAGCAACAGGCAGGCGGCAGCCATTATAGGCATTACCTGTCACTTAACCTAATCCAGAAGAAGGTGCACTACCAGCCTGCAGATAGCTTTTCTTGCCCAAATACTGGGCAGGGAACTAAGAATCGCAATTGTCTTGCTTAACAAAATGTCAGTGATTTCTCACTTGTATAACAATTACCAGAATAATCTACATTAGATATGAGCTGCCCAACAGCACAGTGCTCACTAGACTCTGGCTCTTGTTTCTTAGGTAATTATGGTTTATGGAATTGAACTATATGCTCTGCAGTTAAGCCTGGCTACCATAGAAGGCTCCTTGCTTTCCTAGATAACCTGTCCTGCATGGAATGCTCTGGACTAATGTTGCTCTGTACCTATTATTATTTACAGAGCACGACAATAGCATCCCAAACCTACAGTATGATACATGTCCTTCATAAAGGAAGAGTGGGTTACACAAACCGAGACTTGCAGCATCACACTGCAAGTCCAAGGACCTGGGGCAAGTCTCAGGCAGAAAAGAATTGTAAACATGCTGTGCATCAAATCCAAATCTGCAGATGCCTCCCCTCACCCCTGTCTGTCTGAAGGGATCAAAAGCTACCTCTGGCCATGAGTCTTCCTGTGCATTCATTTCTATAATTTCGGTCTCAAAATAAGAATTTTAGTAAAGTTACAGAAAAGCTAACAATGGCTTTTTCTAAACCACCCAACAAGACATGGGTTAGAAAGATGTCTTGTCTCACCAACAGGGAGGAGAACAAGTGGGAGCACTCGACATTTTTTGGTAGGCAGGCTGTGAGCTAGATGAGCTAAAATTTAATTTAAAGGTATCTTTAGACTTAGGGAGACAAAGTTGGAAATGAAGAATTAGAACTAGGTTCATCACTTTACAGCACCGTTTCCTGTAGAGTAGATCTGGAGCCTGGAAAGTTTAAGCCGCAGGCACTTCATCAATCATTGACTACACTGATAGAAGGGAAGGATTTAGATGAATTGAGCCAAATGTATGTCTAGAAAATTCACAAATCCTATGAAGTACATAGAAGCTGCTAGTAATGAGATGTGATCAGAAATCTCTCTGTCTCTCTCATGTCTAGAAAATTCAAATCCTACAAAGTACATTGGAGCTGCTTGGAATGAGCTCTCTCTCCCTCCCTCCCTCTCTCTCTCTCTCTCTCTCTCTCTCTCTCTCTCTCTCTCTCTCACACACACACACACACACACACACACACTTCTTTGGATCTACTTTGTTAAACCTAAATTCTGAAAAATTCATGAAAAAAGCAACCCATCACCCATCTTTTCTCTGATTTTGTGCTCATAAGTACATTTGTTTCAGCTGTGTTTGCTTTGAATGTCACACATCTGCTTGGATTTTGAGTAAGTATTCTAAATGTAAATCAGTGCATTTATAATTGGACAACACTAACAGACATGTTAACATGGAACAGGGAAATTCCCTGGGCTACAACCACATACAAAGAACTATATGTAAATAAGGAATGCTGAGACTGGGGGAAAGTTAGTTTATCTCAGGGAAGAGCACAGTACCAAATAGTCTGTTTTGGAAACATACAGATGCAAATAACATAGGGACTGAGCAGATTGTATTTATATATTTAGGAATATAAATATATAATTGCTATATATAATTTAATATATATGTATATATACATATATAAAATATCAACAATCAAAGCAAGAGGCCATAATTCTGAGGGAGATCAAGGGCATGTGTGCATGAGGGTATGGAAGGAGAATAACAAAAGGAAAAGTGATGTAACTACATTTTAATTTCACAATATAACATAATTTTAATTGGAAAATTATCTTTAGAAGTACATTTCTTACCCCTCATAGTTATTGAGCCAGTGTTTGCATAGGGGCAAGTCATCTCTTTGGGATTAGAAAACATGGCAGTGGGAAGAATTTTATTTTCGGAGCAAGATATATCATTTTAATTTGGTTGCAACTTAAGTCTTTTAAAGACTAATATAATAAAATCAAATCTACCATTTACTAGTTCCTTTTTGGAGTCTGGATTGACTCCCGGATCCAGTGCCTGTTATATGTATCAAAGAATGACCAAGGGGAATCTCAAGCAATTTTCACTTTGCCTCTTAGAGTCAGTCACAGGAGCGCCAGCTGCATGACTTCCCAGGTGTGTACCGCTGCATCTGATTGGTGCTGAGAGGCAGGCAGGCAGGCCCTTCCTCACTCCCTCTCTTCTTGTGCTTGCCCTATTTTTTGTTCCAGTGATGAGAGATGTTCTGGATCTTCTTCATTTTGATCCGCTGATCCAGCATCTTGTACCTTGCAGGATGGTCATCCGTTTTCTTTGGAACTGAAGGTGCATAGGAGCTAGACGCATAAGCGGGGCGTTTGAAGTGACGTAAAGGAGGCTTGATGACTGGAGATCATGGGAAGGAAGACAAGCATTAGCTTCACAGAGACTTGACACGCCACACACATCGTGGCTACCTTCCTCTTGGCTTGTATGTCTCCTCCAAGCCAAAACAAATAAACGCACACGCACACAAACACACTGGATTGGATTTCTGATAATCGAGTGAGCACAGTATCAACTGGTCATTGATTTGAAATCAATAAGGACAAGAAACAGCTAGAGATGGGCAGTGGTGGCCCAATGCATGAAGTTCACTTGGTAAAGAATGGCTGAAATTAAGGAACGGTTTTAGTATGCTGGGATCACATGTGGAAACAAAGAGACCATGGTGGGCAGAGATAGAACTATTGCTAACAACATTTAGCATTGTGTGCAAGCTTTGGGGGTCAGAAAAGTGGCACTTACTCCCAAAGTACAAATTAAAAGCATATTGCTGAAAAAATACTTGCAAAATACTGATAAATTCTAATATCCAAAATGCACAAAGAACCCTTAAAATTCAACAGAAGGAAGTAACCCAATGCCAAAATGGGCAAAGCAATCTGAACGGACTCCTTACTAGAGAAGATGCATCTATCCAAGGAGCACAGGACAAAGTGTGAACACTGAAGAGTCAAAAATGAAAGAACAGTGTTCTGACACATTGTGTGTAAAGCCAAAGTCCAAAAGCCTTTTAGTGTTCCTTCCTGCTGATGGGAGCAGAAAAATGGTAGAGTTGCTTTGAAAGCTAGATTAGCAATTTCATAAAGCTGGACACAGTCTTTACCATAGAAGACAATAATTATACTCCTAGGTTTACTCACCTCAACTGTTAAAAAGCCAAGATGACCTTTAATGGGTTAATGGATAAATCAATAGTAATAGGCATATTACTAGAGAGATGGTTAAACAGGTGAGCAGTGGAAAATCCAGGGCGGTGCAGGCATCTGATGGGAAACTGGTGGGTTCTGATGCTATTTGTCAAAACTCATGTATCCTCAGGGGAGGGATCCCTAATCTATGCAATTTAAAAAGGCAATTGAGGGGGTTATGGGTATCCCAGAATGCAGTGCAGAACAATCTGACTGAATTGCTGATGTAAGTAATCATGAGCCTGCAGGGGATGAGAGGCAAGAGGGCCATCAAGTAACTTCACACTACCAACAGGCTCCAGAGGAGCAGAGAGGCCAGGGGAGTTACACACAAGCTCTGTATTCTAGTGGATGCAGCTGCTTCTCATACAGGCGCAGATTGTCAATTCAAATACACTCTACACTTCTCAGAAATGGAAGACATAAGAGAAGAACAGACGATGAAAACTATCCACACAGATGTTAGCAGCTAAGCAAAAGGAGGAGGCTAGAATGATTGATCCACAGGTAATTGATTAGACTTGCTGACAGCAATATAAATTCATTGCCTTCATAGAGATGTTGGTGTAATATAAAGGTGTTAATAGATAGAATTACTTACATGACATGATATGCATTTCTTTATCAGACCTAGAAAATCTTCCAGGTTTTGAAGTTACAGCAGCAGAGAACCCACCTGAATTTTTTATTTCTCCAATAAGGGAATCAGGTACTTCCTCTACAAATAACTTACACTAGAACTAGATATATTGTGCACAAGGTGGACTTGGGGACCATTATAGAAACATACAATTCAAAAGCACAAAAAAAAAAAAAAGCTGCAGAGAGAAAGAAAATGACAGACAAAGGAGCTCCAAATGACTCTAAATGAAAATTACTCTGAGCAATGAATCAAAACATGAAGTCAACCACAACCCAAAGTATAAAATACAGACACATAATAATAGGTTACTCAAAAATCTGCGAGAAAACAGATAAATGTACTAGGCATATTACTAAACAATTTCTATAGATCCACAACCTTTAAGGAGGGGGACGAGTTTGTTAGTGTGAACTGGACATGGTGACATCCTTCCTATGGCCTAAGAAGAAACCAAAAAGTGGTCACAGAGAAGAAACACGACCATTACGATTTCATCCAGGAAAGCAGAGGAGCACACTGAGTGGCACACTGGCACATCCTTGATTTTATGTGATAGGAGTTAATATCTTGTGACTGAAGCAGAATTTATTTAGCCCCATCCTAAAAGCAAGCAAACAGGAGATAATCCCAACTGATGGAAAGCCGCACAATAACAGCCTAGTAAAGCAGAGAAGCCTGCAGGATTACAGAGCCACGGGAAGCTTAGGGAGGCAGATGACGTCATCTGAGTGTCACCCTGAGGGATCCTAGAACAGAGGAGAAAGGGACAGCAAATGACAAGCAGGGATATGGGAATGAGCATAGATGAGGATGAGTGTATCATCTGACCTGCGGTTCTGTGAGGAGAAAAAGGTAAAGGACTGGCTGCCTTCTGTCTTCCCCTCTCCTCTAGTCTCCCTTGTCTCCTTGGTTGTCCTGAAAATCTGTTCAGTTAATGAACATAGAGGGAAAAATTGTGTTGTCAGGAAGAACAAAGTGGATATGCTAGTTAGGTGAAAAGTGTGGAGGAGCAGAGCTGGTGCCAGCCACTCGCGCAGTACCAGCTCTCTCTCACTGCAGGTAGCTTCACTGTCTCCTAAAGAGTAAAGGGAGAGAGCACCTAAGTGAGCTGGAAGGACTCAAAGCTGAGGGATGCATCTGTTAAACTGCAAAAGCAGTTCTCTGAAACACCCTCTCAGCAAATACCTTCCAACAGTGAGCAAATGCCAGAGAACCGCAAGGAAGCACAGAGTTTACATGCAGAGCTGGGCAGGTGGCTTAGTGACCGAAGTCCTCCAAGTATTGAGATGGAGTTCACATCCCTAGCATCCACAGAGAAGCCTGGCATGGTAACACACATGTTTATAGTTTCAGTGCTGGCAGGCAGAGACATGCCAATTCAAGGGTCCTCCTAGCCATTCAATATAGAAGAAATGGAAAATTATAGGTTTGGTGAAAGACCCTACCTCAAAAACAATCTCTGACCTCCACAAATCTCTACATGGTGTCTCTCTCCCCACCACATATATTATATTTGACACACACAGCAAGACAAAAATTACCAAGTCAGGTGGTTATGACACACTCCTTTAATTCCAGCACTTGGGAAGCAGAGGCAGCAAATCTCTGTGAGTTCGAGGCCAGCCTGGTCTTACAAGAGATAGTTCCAAGATAGCTAGGGCTGTTCCATGGAGAAACCCTGTCTCTAAAAACAAACAAATAAATAAACAAAAACCAAAGATACAAATTACCATCAAATAGGATACATTGAATTGTTATATTTTCAGAGTATCCATGAATGGAAAAAAACAAGACTGTCATATCCTACTAAGACAGGGTAAGATAGTTTTGACAAGTTTCTTGCCTTTGAAAATGGTATGTCAGTTATGTTAGGCCTTAGCCAAAGTTGGTTGCTTCAACGCTGCAAACGTGACCTTGGGTGATTGCCCAGGTAGCTAGTTGTCTCTGTGATTTGTTGCATGTTTTGGAAGTCGTTTGATTGCACTTCCTACCTACTCAGGTAAAATTATTTCCCTTCTCAGATCTTCGATGAGGTTGAAGACTATATAAATGTCCACTTCTGACTTGGCCAAGCTATTTATTATATAAGACTTAAGCTAGTTATAATAGGATATTTGTACTTATTGTATATAATTTCATAGTAGGTTTAGAACTCTCTTACTTAAACAAAAGGGGGGGGGTGTTGCGGGAGCTCTTCTGCTCCTTCAGCCAATAGCCGCTGTGATACCAGCCCATTGGGGTGTGGTCTCTCTCCCTCTGCTCTCTCTCTGGCTTCCAGCTCTGCTTCCGGGGACTAGGCTCCCTTCCTGATTGTGTGGAGGGCTGTTGTCTGGGATGGTGATCTGTAAGTTTTCCCCTTTAAATAAAGAACCATTTTATTAATCATAATTTCAAACTGGTGTGGGATTGTTTATGACTTACGCCTTCATACCCAGGCCTAAACTGTCTTATCTTTACCCAGTGAAGTGATAATAAAATCCCCTCTCATAGTTAGAATGGCCATTTTTAAGCCCTCAGAATGCAATTCCATGGTTTAGGGAAAATAAGAATCATAGCCACCACCACCGTTCCCATTCCCAAGGCATGTAGAACAAGTATAAAGAACCATTCCTATGACCCTGGAGGATAGAGAATTGAGGACGAGAGCTTGGGAATAAAAGCAGAGGCTTGGGCTCACTGATTTATGTCTTTTGAGTCACAGTCCCTCTCCATATTCATCCTATTTTTGCAGCTCAGCATGAACTCAGCCAAAGTATTATTGAATTCCCCACTTCTCAGCATGAAGGAACATTTACCATTTGCTGGAATTCTGATTGTCAGAACAAAAATTCTGCTTGCCACTGGAGTCCCTACAAATGGCCTGAGCCTACTGATAAAGATGGGCTCCCCACTGAGCTATGAAAGACCTTTGCATGCCTGCTGTCACCTTCATTCGACATGGGAAACGGAGAGCTTGGCCCTGTACTGTTTGTATGTACTTCTTGCCTTTCTCCTATGCAGATGTCAAGATTTTGATGACAGGGCATGACAGCAGGGTAGGAACCAGGGCACCATCTTGAGTTTGTGGTGGACGGTTCTTCTGGGGTGCTGGTTGTCCTCCTGAAGGGGTTTTTATTCACCTTGGAATGTTTCTGGGGTCTTAGAAGGGGCCTGACCCTCCTCCTTTCAATAGTTACACCTTCCTTTTTGGATAATGAAGAAACAAATAGGGAAAATAATCCCACTACCCGCGGGCTCGGTCAGCACACTGAGTGCAAATGATTTGCAGAAATGATCATATCAGCTGATGAAGATTTGACCAAAGCATATGCCTGCATACAGTGTTAACTTGGGGGTCACTTTTGAACAAATTTAAAAGAGAAAGACAAACTTAAGACAAAGACGACACGTCTTTAACCATCATCCTTTATTTTGCAGTTATATATAATCTTTGGTTTTCATAAAGCAATGCTCTTTCAGGAGCTTCAATCCTCACTTTCTTTAGCCCTCGTTATTTGCGTAAGTACCACAATTTCTCCCTCACAAATAACACCTCTCTTCTGCTACCATCCTCTTTCATTTTCTCTCTCCTCTTCTCATTTCTCTCTTGCCACTTCTCCTTTCTCCTCTCTCCTTCTCCTAATACTTTTTCCACCAGCAAACAGATTTCAATTTGCTGACACAACAAACTGACAGAGCTGTTGAACTGAGGTCAGACATGAATATGAACACCTACATATAATGCCTACTACCTGTGTTAGATACCATGCCGAGAATTTACAGTGAATTAGCTAAATCCATGCCCCGGCTCACACCTGCCTATAAGCAAGCACCAGTGTCATTCCTTTCCCAGGTGTGGAAACTGAGGCTTAATGGATTTATATCACAACTATGAAGGAAGTCTGGAGCATGGATTCACATCCCAACAGACTTCAGATCCTTCCTGGTACCCGGAAAATTATCTAAGCCCTGAATTTAGCTTTAATAGGTGCCATAACAGGCTTAAAATGTCAAGTTAAAACTACTTCATTTAAGGTCTTAGCTGGAGTCAGTCTTGTGGATTCTCTAGAGCCAGGTTTCTGCTAACCCTATAATGGCTGCCTCAGTCAAGATATCTCTTTCCTGCCCTCTGATTCAGCTTTGGTGCTGCCCTCATGTGACATCACTGCTTGGCTTTCCATTCTCATCTCAGTAAGGGAGATAGATTAGCACTCACTTCAGAAGTCACTAATAAGACTGAAAAGCAGCCAGCACTGATGCATGGGAGTGCTCATTCCCGTAAGTTTCTTTCCCTTGCCTTCATGCGAGGCAAGCATGGGACCAAGGTTTCTCTCCCTTGTCTGCCATGAAGACCTGCAATTGTCTGGCAGGTTTATTAACCCCAGGAATATGCAGGAGCATATTCCCTATTTGGGAATTCACATGTATCCCAAGATGTGAAAGCATTAGCTTGAAGCCAGGCAGAAAGGACCCTTGACTTTTTGTAGAAATAGGATTTTACAATATTAACCCTACCAGAAAATTATTCTTAATCCACACATATTACATGCAGTGTCATCCAAAGTGACACTTTATCTTTAAACTCTCAATGGTCTGTTTCATATTAAATGCTGGAATGACTAACTAACTCCCTTATCTGCATTTTTAAAGATTCCAGCTCTCCAAAGACTACCTGAAGAAAACCAGAAGTCCATATGATCTATAGCCCTTTTTCCTTCTCCTCAGAAAGACCAAATATCTCTGTGAGGTGGAAAAGGAAGGCTTGCAATCTAAGAAGCTATCTAATAATCATCATGTTCTGCCAAAGTCAAGAACCACAGACTGGCCTAGTTCATCTCATTATTATTTTTTCTTTGAAAGAAAAAAAAGTCATTTATAATATTGTCAAATTGCACCATATAATGATGTTTTAGCTAATAAATGGACTGCATATAGAATTGAATATGCTCTACAGTCCAAATGCTACACCATAGAGGCTTATGTAAGTATGTATATAAGTACACTGTTTGATGCTCACACAATGAAATCACCTAATGACATATTCTTGGGACTGAATTCCCATTGGGCAGTGATGTAGGCCAATATTTAGGGTTAGAGAGGTCTTTGGGATACATGGCTAGGTCTGGTTTATACTCTTATCCCTGTTCACCAGCACCTACACAGTATAGACTCTGTGCTAAATCTATGCCAGAAAAAGCCCCATGAGAGTTCTCCTTTTGGAAGCAGTAGGTGGCATTCTGGGAGAACCATAGGCTTGCAGGCACACAGAGCTGGGATAATTACTACTCTCTCTGAGATCCTAGGGTCACCTCCACTCAGAGCTTTGTTCCTTTTCATGCATTCTCTGATGTGGGGAGAGGGGTAATTTCCTTGCATGGCCGTGTGAAAACTTTAGGATGCTGTGCATGGGAGAACAAACTGGAAGTGCTTGGCAGTGGGTGTGTGATAGGTGTTTTGTGACATGATATTATTACGTGATAGCTGAGCACGGAGAACCAGGATGCTTTCCCACAGTCTGCTCTCTTGATTTTCTTATAACCAGATTCCCTATACTTGATTTACACCTGCACGATCTCACCACACACTAGAGAGATTCTGTAGCATATTTATTTGTATTCGGCAGAGAACACACCCCTTAGTTTCCTGGGGGAACCACTTTGAAACTAAGTGGGATTCTAAGCAAAGCAAAACACCTAGCTCACACTTTGAACTAAACAAGTAAGGAGATGGTGGTCCAATCAGTGACTCTGGCCAGGACGTATTGAAGAACACAAAGAGTTCTTGAGATCCTGGTGGGATGAATGACTCAGAGAACCAATGAGAAGCCAGAGCTTTGTCCCGGATTTTTAATCTGGATGTAATTAGTAAGAGGATGGGGAGATTATGAAAATGACAGGGCCAGTTATGATTCCTGAGACTCTGCATTCCTTCTGATGAGGCATAGTTAAGTGAGTCACTCTCTGTGGAAGTCATTCATAAGTGGATGCTCTGGCTTTCTTTTTCGATACTTCTTCATTCCATAGCCACTTCAGTCCTGTGTACCTGTTTCCTGGGGCAGAGGTAATGTGTGCACACATTTGTATCTCCTGATACGACATAGTATCAGGTGCTGAGAAATGTTTAAATGAGTGAACGAGCTACTGTGCATCACACTCCGTAACCTTCATGAATGTTTTCTTTAAAAAATAAATGACTCTCTTCAAATGTACACCAGCTGGCAAAGTTGTCAGCATCGACAGAAGCCAATATTTCTCCCTTACTTCCGCAATGGCTTCATACCTAGAGTTACTCCCTATGCTTGCTTAAGAAGGATGTCAATGAGTTCATTCCTTCACAAACTTCAAGTCTAGGGAGGAAGCAAAACTGTGTCTATACAGGTGCTGCAACCATGGCTTCTGTCTTTAGATTTTGCTATAGCATGAAAGGCACTGAGGCAGAGTTCTCAAGCCCCTGTGGAGGGGTATGAAAGAAAATGGCCCCCCAAAGGGAGTGGCACTATTAGGAGGTGTGGCATTGTTGGAGTAGGTGTGGTCTTGTTGGGAGGAAATGTGTCACTGTGGGGGTGGGCACTGAGTCCTCCTATGTTCAAGCTGCTCCCAGTGTCACAGTCTACTTCCTGTTGTCTGCACATCAACATGTAGCAGCTCCTTCTCCAGCACCATGTCTGCCTGCAGGCTGCTCTGCTGCACACTGCCATGTTCTCCGCCATGATGAAATGGACTAAACCTCTGAAACTGTAAGCCCACCCCTCAAATAAATATTTTCTTTTATAAGAGTTGCCATGGTCACGTGTCTTTCCACAAGCAGTACAGACCCTAAATAAGATGCCCTTCCTTGACAAACTTGTGAAGAGGACAGAGCCACTGTATAAGGCTAGAAAATCAACTCTTTCCCTATCCAGACAACAGCTACCTTCTAATACCTGGTGCTACTATTTTTTAAGGTAAGAAATCCTCCCTCAAGATCATTTTTAGCTTCATTTTTTTTTTGTTCTCCCTTTGTCTGTCCTGGCACACAAAGTCCATGCCACACACTGTGACAGATAAAGCTGTGCAAAGCCTTTCACTCAATTCTTCTCATCAATATGCAGATTTCTTCCTACCTGATTATTTAGGTTTAAAAATGTAAGACTAATCAGTTACCTGCATGCACTTTATCCATGCTAAACCATGTCAGAGGCCCATGAAGGGAAATTCTTCAGTTATACAGCTCTGAGTAGCATAGCAAGGCATAGAAGGAAGCCTTGACTCCGTCCACAGTAAGTGAGTGACAACTGCCAACCATCACAGGAAACTTAGGGTGAAAGTTTGCAGCAGAATCAACAGTCATTTGGGATAGGATCCTTCACTCGGGAGCTTTGAGCCTTAAAGCCACAAGTGGGGAATGGATAATTACCTGCAGCCTTTGGCAGCAACAAATCCCTCAGGAATGAGAACAGGCTTGATACTTGCCAAAGATGGCTTTGGGCAAGCTATTCAGGTGTCCTTATCTGTTAAAGAAGATGTGACTACCAATATCCTCAGAGAATCATCAGGGTTAATCCATGTTATTAACTTAGCATTGTCCCTGATGTCTGTAAGTTTAAAATACATATAAAAGTACCTGATTTTTTTTTTTTAAAAACTGTATTAGGGAAACCAAAAGCCACCAATTGAAGTTAAATATTCAATAACTTACAATACATTTAGATTTTGTTTAGTAAAAGAAATATAAGATTTCCATAATGCCTTCAGACCTTGAAGATGGTCAGGTATCTTCCAACGACGTTTCTGGATGGATGTTTTACCCGTAGTCTCCTGCAACAAGACATACATTAAAGTCATTGAGAGCTGGATGGAATTTGGCACAGAAAATCTCTCTACAGCAGGCAGCAGAATTGAGAAGCAGAGCCGTATCTACTGCGAGACTACTGTGCATGCCGCACTGTGTGCAAGGGGCACTCAGCTATATCTGCGTCAGCGACAGCTAGGTACTGTACCTGTCCTCTAAGATTGCTTCAGGAGGCACCTGGGAAGCTGCTCAGAGGTGACTGCTTTGGATGGATAACAGTTATGGCTGGTCATGGTGGTAAAACTCTGAGCTGTTCTTCCAGCAAGAGCCAACAGTTCCTCAGTTCTCCATCAGGGTGGATGTCCTTCACCCCTGAACACCATGAAGTTCAAAAATTCCATTGGGCAACAAATGAAGTAGGCACTAGGAAAAACACGTCTGTATGTGCTAGCCTTTTCCACGGAAGAGCCACTCTGGCTAAGATGTGCAAGGGTTCCTGAGGACCGGGACCCCACGTAGTTTTCTTGTGCTGAAGCTGAAGGATGAGCCTTCAGAACTGTGCAGTCCTTTGACGAAACAATCATTGCAGACTTCTGACAAGTAACCTCCAGAACTTCTAAAAGACTCAGCTCCTCCTATCCCAACCATCCCCACAGGTTAGAAAGGGAAAATGTCAAAGTTCAAAGAGTGCATGTTAAACTAGCAACATGAATGACAACAGCCACCACTGTTTTGTAAAACAGTCATAGTTTTATGTAAAATTGTATTTTAAATCTATGGAGAAGTATAAATACTAACACAATAAGTACCTATCCTCTCCATACAGCTTAATAAGATTAGCGTTTTAAATATTTTTAAAGAGGTTAAATGGGAGCAGAGAAAATGCTCAGTGGGTAAAGTGCCGGCGGTACAAACCCGAGGACCTGAGTTCAGACTGCTAGCGTCATTATAAAACACTAGATGTGGTAGATTATTCTTTTAACCCTAACCCTAGGGTGGCTTCCAGAGGGATGCCGAGGGCTTGGTGGCCAGTCATCCCAGCTAGTTTGTAAGTTCCAGGTTCAGTGAGAAATCCCATCTCAAAAAAGAAGGTGGGAATTGACAAAGAAGGAAATTCTGCATTCTTGGCCATTTCCTTTCTTCTCTCTGCCTACTGACTTCTTGCTTGTTCAGTTTTTCATTTGGATGCCTGTTCTCACTTCGACTGTTGTGCTGCAGTGACTGCTGGGATGCATTATCAAGACCGGAAATTTCTCCTCATGGTTAAACACCTTGAATTCTTCGATCTGAGTTCCATGCTTTTGGGTCCGGGTATAGGCCCTCTGCTTTAAAAACCCCATGCCCTGGGAAAGTCACCCTTTGCTCTTTACTCCTCAGCCACTGATGCCACTACCCACCTCATGTTTTTCTGTATATTTTGTACAGGCAGAATCATTGTCACATGACTTTTTGCGTCTGGCTTCTTCTACTGAGCAAAATGTTCTCCCCAATCTTCAGACTGCACCAGGACTTCATTCATTTGGAATGGCTGTGACGTTTTGTCAGGTTATCCTTCAGTACTGGAAAGGAGGGAGTTTCCACATTTGGACTACTATGGGAAATGTCACTGTAACCACATGGGAGCAAGGTATCCGATGAAATTTTCCTTTAATTTCTCTTGCTTATGAATCTAAAATTCCTGGGTCATTTGATTACATAGAAGGTTTAACTCTTGCTTTGTTTTGGTTTTGGTTTGAGACAAGGCTTCTCTATGTAGCCTAAGTTGGCCTGGAACTTGCTGTGGAGTCTGGGCTGCTATCTAACACTTGCCCCCTCCCCCCGACTTTCTGTCCCAGAACATGTACCAGGACACTTGGATACGTTTAACTTTTTAAGAAACTGTAAACATTTCCCAAAATGAGTTACTGAAGTTTCATTATATATTCTAGAAATTAACTCCTAATCAAACATATCATTTGCCAATATTTTCTTTCATGCTCTGGTTTGCCTTCTGACACAGTTGGTAGTCTTGTTGGCTATCCAACAGTCTGTTATTTTGATGAGGCTCAATTTGCCTGTCACCTCTTGTGTTATCTCTCGAATTTGTGTGTCCTGTGCTTCCTTCCACCTTTCTTGCCCCTGGGGCAGCTCTGTGTAGAGTTTGTATTTACTTCCATTTGATCCCTTAAAATTTTCTGTCAGGCTTAAGATAATACCTGGTTCTAAAAGCCCACAGTCATATTGGGAAAGTCAGAGATTCACTTCCAGTACTGACATTGGCTGTTTTTCCTTAGCTCCAGATCAGTAGCTCTGCCTAGTGTTCCAAACAAAGGCCAGCAGCATTGATTTTACCCTTCTTGGACCCTGTCCTGTATTCTGACCAGGTCCCTCTCTGAATGCCTGTATCCCAGTGTCTGTTTGGGTTGTGAAGCACAGCTGTCCCACAGCATCTGTCCTGGGGTATCAGGTACCTTGTGTAATTCCCTTTGGTTTCTGGTTCCCAGAGCTGTTGGTCTCTTACACTGTCTTTCAAGACTTTACTTCATTTTTCTATTTTGTTTGTCTCTGCATGTGTTTAGAGCAGAAGATTATCCATCAAGGAATGAGCATCTCAGGTCATCCTGGCCAGAATTCACAAAAGGAGTCTCCTCATTTAATTACCTGCAGCTGATTGATGTAGTCATGCTGAATTAAATCCATCCATGGCAATGGTGTTAATGCCTGAATCTTAAAATCTTCAACTAACTGCCCAATCAATGGTTCTTAAAGCTACTTTTGCTAGATATTAATGGTTTTCTATAACACAGTTTGAACATGAGAAGACACCAGTCCTATCTGAGTAGGTAGCCATAAAGCCATCTAAGCCAGAAGTAGGAAACATGTATATAGTTCCTGAGGCAGAAGGGGCCAGAGAATGCTGACGACTATAATTAGCAAGGTGGAGGCACATGTTAGACAGAGTGCCTGGCATTGTGTCATGCATTTTGGGAGGTACCCACTTTACTCCGTATAAGCTTTGGAGATGGTCAGAGCTTAGAAGTTAAGTCTTTGGAACAAGTTGAGACTGACAAACTCAGGTGAAAGACAAGGCTGCCAACATGGTGATTCACAGGCCATGTAACCCTAGCAAGCTATTGTGGTGTTCAGCACAGCAGGTCAGGTCACATCAGGGCTGCATACTCTTATTGAGAGCCATGATGACCTCTGAGGTCTTTCCTGGCTCAAGAACGAGATAACTTTTCCAAGGATCACGATCATTTTCCCGTGGTATTGCTGAGATGATGTTAGCCTCCTCCCAATGCTCTACAATCTGAAGTGTACCGCAGTGGGCACATGATAAGATGGCTTCTAGGCATAAAGGATGCTTCATTTCTAAGCAATCACAAACTAATCCTGAGGGTGCTCACTCCCTCACTTGTAGAAGCCTTGTGGAAACGGATGAGCATCTACCTATCACCTTGGCAGTCTGGGATCAGGAAGGAGTAAGATGAGCTCCACTGTGGAAAATGTCACCTGTCAACAGGTAAAAGCACTTTAAAGCAAATCATGGCCATGCGATATTGCCAGATATTTGATTATATACTGGGTAAAGATGTGTCACTGTGACTGGTTTGAAAAGGAGCTAAACAGCCAATAGCTAAGCAGAGAGAATAGGTAAGACCTCTAGGCAAAGAGAGAAACTGGCACACAGAGGAGATACCAGTGAGATGCAGAAAAAGTTGGAAGTATAGAATGAAAGAAAGGTAGAATGTAGATTAAAAGGGTATAACGTAGTTTAAATAACATGGGGTAATTTAAGATATAAAAGCTGGCTAGGAAGAACCCTAAGTTATAGGCCAAGATGCTATAATCAATAAGTCTCCATATAATTCCTTGGGAGCTGGTTGGCAGGACAGAGAAAGACCCATTACAATGCAATATTAATTCTCACTAGATGGTTTGGAGAGAGCTGCAAAGAGAAATGCACCAAGGGAAATTAGTTTCAGTAAGTCACAGAGGCAAGAAAATTCAAGGCTCCTTAGCCAACAATGACTGAATCTAGAGGTCAGGCCTGTAAAAGGAGCTATGGCACATAAACTGGAATACTAAGTCAATGTGGATTATTTTTCCTGTCAAGAATATCACTAATTGTGAAGTGAGGTACTATTGAACCTACAAGCAAGAAAAAATGTGAGTTAAATTATTACACACCATGGATCATAAACTGGATCAGGCCAGGTGGAGGGCAGGGTAGGGGTAGAGTACTGGAAAGATGACTGGAATTGGGAGCAAAGGGCGAGGCAATGTGGAAATTTACTGCAATGAAAACTCAATGGAATAATCATTTTTTAAGAAAGCCTAATTTCAGAGGAATTAGAATACAAGACAATATGCTTCTCACAATAGATGAAATATAGTAATTCCCCAAAGCAGAAACCTAAAAGATAATTTTGTATTAGCGAACAGGTATTTGTTAAAAGATAAAGGCAAGGAAAATGTGGATGAAATGTTATTTTTCTCATCAAAATGATAAACCATGGAACATACTATTTAGCATTGACAAAAATACTAAAATGTACACATTAATACTTTATAATAACAAATAAAAATTAATATTACTAAAGTGTATCTTGAAAAGAACCCAAGTATCTAGACAATCTTTACTAAGAATTTCTATCCCAGGAATCTCACTCACTCCATACATAGACTCCAAAAATTTATGAACAAGAACATAACATGATTACAATAACATGCAAACTGTACAATGTAAAGTTGTCATTACACATGTAAGTAAACTGACAATCATAGACATATTAGCAAATTACAAAGATATTAATTTACTAACATGTAGAAAACCCCTTTAATATAATAGTAAATTTCAAGACCAGATCACAATCCCAGAGAACCTAGACAACAATGAGGACCCTAAGAGAGACATACATAGATCTAATCTACATGGGAAGTAGAAAAAGTCAAGATCTCCTGAGTAAATTGGGAGCATGGGGACCTTGGGAGAGGATTAAAGTGGAGGGGAGAGGTAGGGAGGAAAGCATAGAAAAATTAGAGCTCAATAAAAAATAGTCAATTTCAAAGAGAGAAAACAAAATTCTACATAAGATACAAAATTGAATTCAAGAAAAATTGTATACGACCGAGAAGGAGAGGGGATCTCAGTAAATGGGCAACATTAGCAATAAATGGAATTTTTCCTTCCTGTAGTCTTTCCTATTACTACAAAAGAGTTTACACTGACCATGTTTACCTTTTACAATTTCACTTACTCAAAACAAGCTCCACTAAGATTAAAATTGCAATAAAAGTGTGAGGTTATGTGTGCACTCAGAAAGACTAGCAGGTGCTTGCTTATCTTGCAGCTACAGATGATTATCACGAATGGCTATTTCCCTTGGAGATGCTAGAAGGGATCTAGGTCATATACATTTCCATATTTGCAACACTAGACCTTAACTGTATCTGCTATTAGTTATGACACAGTGTCAGAGGGTATTAAGGTTAGAGGTAGCACTTCTAATCCAAGATGAAGTAGCATAGTTGAGGTTGCAAAATTAACATGACAAGCCTAGAGTTTGAATTCCTATCTATCTATCTATCTATCTATCTATCTATCTATCTATCTATCTATCTACCTACCTACCTACATGCCTTCCTATCTTTATCTCTCTCTGCCCATTAATTTTCCTTGTACTACTTGCCTCTCAGAAGTGGATACTTCATAGCCTTCCCAAGAGCACAGTTCCATTCTGTCCATTGCTAAGAGGAAGCAAATATGATTGCCTTGGAAACAATATGGCCACATCTGGAAGAAACTCACAAATAAAGGCAACAGACACTAAGCTCCCTGATAAGGTAGACTTGAACATAGGCTCTGCTACAGCTGCTGTTCCCTACTCTTGAAGCCCTCGTGCTGTGTGTCATCTGTGGTAATTGAGATAATAGGGCAATGTCATTTACCTACCTGGCAAGGTAAGGCGACTTGTGGAACTAGTGCTTGGAGCAGGTGAGCCATGAGAACGTTTCTTTGTACCTGTAAAGAAGGCAGGTAAGATAAGGAAAGTATAAGTGTGGGTCAGCTGGGACGGGGCAGTGTTTATTCTATGGCACAGAGAAGTTAGAAGTTCAGATTGTGCCTTTGTGGAATGATACTCCGTACCTCTGGGTAGCAGCTTGGCATGATGGATGCAAATGCTCTCGAGCAGACCACCTCAGTAGTAGTAGGGAGTCTTCCTAAATGTGTTGTTTCCACAGATTCCAATTTCCGTGTTCTAAAGTGGAGCCTATTTTTAAGCTATTTTTATTTTTATAACCCCAAGGTAGTTATAATATGCCTGTAGGGTAATAATCACCAGTTGGGAAATGGAAAGTTTAGGATTCAGAACTGTGGAATCCGGGGTTTTGAACGTGTTTTAGCTGTATCTTTTCCCTGCTATCAGATCTTAAGATGTGAATGGGATCTGTCTGAGTCTCAGATCTTCACCTGGAAATGAGTAAAGTGACACGATATCCAAGTGTTCTGGCAAGTCAAAGTGTGTACTCAGAGACTGTGGCTCAACACTTAGGCTACAATAGTGGGGTTCTGAAGCACCCAGAAGATGGTGACTAACTCTCATCAGGGATTTGGTTATCTTTCTTCATATAAACAGTTGAGTGTGCAGTGAAGAGATGAAGAGGCAGCCTCCAGGATGAGGTGGGAAAAAAAGAGCAACCGAACGGATAAAACAAAAGGAGACAGAACTGTTCACAAAAGAAGACATTTCTCACATGCATACATCTTACACATGTACATGTACATATAAATTTACACACCTATATGTGCACGTATATTATATAATTATAAATGTTATTTGCTCAGATTTTTAGTTACTTTATTTTGTCATCCATATTGAGGAGAAGGAGACATAAAAGCCCAAAGCCTGCAGCAACCTATATGATAATCCCTTCAATGGGTTGATAGAAGTGGAAAGAGAATTATACAATGTTTCACTGAGTAACTCATGCTGGTTTTGACCTCAGTATTTTTTCCTAGTCTCCTGTGTACTGTTATAAGCATGTGACATTTTGTAAGACCAGAAAAAAATTAAGTGTATATACATAAGTCAATGTTATCATTTGATGAGTTCTTGCAATTGTCCAATATCTTAGCTACTTTTCTATTTCTGTAACAGAACACCATGACTAAGGCAAATTATAGAAGAATGCATTTCATTTGGCTTATAGTTTCATAGCATTAGAGTCCATAATGGTGGAGCAAAAGCATAGAAGTGGGAAGAGTTGAGAGTTCACATCTTGATTCACAAGTAGGAGGCAGAGAGAACACTGGGAAGGCATAGGTCTTTAAAACCTCAATATTGCCTTACTGGGCCCTCCGCCTAGCCCCAGAAGACTTCTACCATGCAGGCCCAGACCACACAAACCAGAACACATGAGTGACCTGTCTGCCAGTGTAACTGTATCCTTCCCTGTATCTAGCCCCTCCCCCATCCCTTTCCCAGGCCCACACCATCAGAGTTACTCCCTGACCCTGATGCAGCTGTGCCCTGCCCCTAACTCCAGAGGATTTCTGCCACTGAGGTACAGACTGCCCCAGTCACAACCTGTGAGTGGCCCTCCTGTCCTGTGGCCTGGCCTCTCCCATCCCAGCACCAACACCACTGCTGAGGCCTGCTCTAAACTCCAGAGGAATCCCACTGCTCTAATGCAGCTCTTACCAGTGGACAAGCAGATGAGTGACCCATCTGACAGCTGGACTGCGGCCACCTTGGGTTATGCTCCCCTAAGAATCATACTACTGCCCAATCTCTCCCATTTCATCATCTTTTCTGTGGCCAGCCCTTAGGCCTAGACACAGTCCACATCATTTGGAGAATAGGTGTCACATGCCCACATACATTCCAGACAAGTTAGAAGAATCTCTGCTTGAGGCAAGGATGGTCCCCTAGGCTTTATTGGAGGTAAGGCCATATTTAGAGACCCAAGAAGACTTTGGCTTTACCAAAGACCAAAATGAATCAAGGGATCCAAGGTTCTCAAAACTTCCGTAGAAACACCCGACTGGACCTGAAGGCTGACCAGTAACTAGAACTTACCAACAACAAAATAATAGGTCTTTAATATCTCTCAATATCAATGGACTCAATTCACAAATAAAAGGAAACAAACTACCAAAAGAGATTTTTAAAAAATGAACCATCTTTCTGCTGAATACAAGAAACACAAATCAACTTCAAAGACAGACATTGCCTCAAAGTAAAGGGCTGGAAAATATTTTCCAATCAAACAGACCTAAAAAGCAAGCTGGTGTAGTTATCCCAATATCTAACAAAATAGAGTTCAAGTCAGAATTAATCAAAAGACATGGAGAATGACATTTCACACTCATTAAAGGACAAATCCCCCAAGATGAGGTATCAATCTGAACATCTATGCTTCAAGTAAAAGGACATCAACATTTGTAAGCTTAAATTACATATTGAAGCATACACTATGAGTGGGAAACTTCAACACTCCACTTTTACCAATAGGAAGATCATTCAGACAGAAACTAAACAAAGAAATAACAGAACTAACAGATGAAATGACTCAAATGGACATAAAAGATATCGTCATTTCACACAAACACAAAAGACTATGCCTTCTCTGCACCTCATGGAACCTTCCCCAAAGGTCATGTACTTGAGCACAAAGTGAGTCTTAACATATATAAAAAATGGAATAACCCTGTGTATCTTATCAGATCATCAGGGATTAAAGTTAAAGATCAGCAACAGCACAAACTATAGAAAGCCTCCGAACTAAAAGAAACTGAACAATCCCTGGGTCAAGAAAAACTAAAGATAGAAATGAAAGACTTCCTAAAATTCAATGAAAGTGAATGCACAGCATATTGAAACTTATGGGACACAATGAAAGCTGCAATAAGAGGAAAATTCATAGCACTGAGTGCCTACACAAAGAGCTTTAGAAAATCTCATACTAGTGACTTAATGGAGCACCTGAAAGCTCTAGAACAAAAAGAAGTAAACACCCCAAAAGGAGTAGACACAGGAAATAATCAAACTGAGGGCTGAAATCAATAAAATAGAAACAAAGAAAACAGTGAAGTAAAGGGCTGGTTATTTGAGAAAATCAACAAGATGGACAAACCCTTATCCAAACTAATAGGCAGAGAGAGAATATCCAAATTAACAAAATCAGAAATGAAAAGGGGGATATAACAACAGACACTGAGGAAAACCAGACAGTAATTAGGTCATATTTAAAAAAACCTGTACTCTGCAAAATTGGGAAATCTAAAAAAAAAAATGAAAAAAATTATTGATAGATACCACATACAAAAATTAAATAAAGACTAGGTAAACAATTTAGATAGACCTATAACCCCTGAGGGGAAAAAAACACAATCATTCAAAGTCTTCCAACAACAACAAAACCCAGAGTCAGATGGTTTCAGTGCAGAATTCTAAGTGGACTTTCAAAGAAGAGCTACTACCAGTATTCCTGAAATTATTCCACAAAACAGAAACTGAAGGGACACTGCCAAATTCTTTTATGAGGCCACAGTTACCCTGACACCCACACCATACAAAGATGCAACAAAAAAGAGAATTACACACTAATTTCTCTCATGAACATTGATTCAAAAATACTCAGTAAAACACTGGCAAACCAAATCCAAGAATACATCAAAAAGATCATTCACCAAGATCAAGTGGGCTCCATCTCAGAGATATGGAGATCAACAAACAAAAATCTGTCAGTGTAATCCACCACATAAACAAACAGAAAAAAAAATACCACACGATCATCTTATTAAATGCTGAAAAAGCCTTTGACAAAATCCAACATCCCTTCATAATAAAAGTTTTGAAGAAACCAGGAATACAAAGAATATATCTAAATATAATAAAAAAATATGCAGCAAGTCAATAGCCAACATCAACTTAAATGGAGAGAAACTAAAAGCAATTTCACTAATGTAAGGAACAAGATAAGGCTGACTACTCTTTCCATATCTATTAACAATAGCACTTGAAGTTCTAGCTAGAGCAGTAAGACAGCAAAAGGAGATCAAGGAATACAGATTGGAAAGGAAGCAGTCAATGTACTGCTCTTCACAGAAGATAGGATAGTATACAAAAGTGACTTCAAAAATTCAAACCAAGGAACTCCAACAGCTGAGAAACACCTTTAGCAAAGTTGCTGGATGCAAGATTTAGTAAAAGAAATATCAGTAGTCCTTTTATATACAAATGATAAAAGGGCTGAAAAAGAAACTAACTTATCACTAAACACCCAAGTGAAAGACTTTTATGACAAGAACTTCAAGTTTTGGAAGAAAGAAATTGGAGAAGACATCAGAAGAAAGGAACCTTCTCCCTTGCTCATAAATTGGTAGGATTAACAAAGCAAAAATGGCCATCCTACCAAATCCCCATCAAAATTCCAACACAATTTTTTACAGACCTTGAAAGAATAATACACAACTTCATATGGAAAACAAAACAAAACAAAACAAAAACAACCCCCATGATAGCTAAAACAATTCTGTAGAATAATTGAACTGCTGGAGGTGTCACCATCCCTGATTTCAAGTTCCACTACAAAGCTATAATAACTTAAAAAAAACAGCATACTATTGGTATAAAAAACAGACAGGTGGATCAATGCAATCAAATCAAAGACCCACACATAAATCCACACACCTATGGACACCTGTTTTTTTTTTCTAAAGAAGCCAAAATTATACAATGAAGGAAAGAAAGCATCTTCAACAAATTGACCTGGAATAACTGGATGTTGATATGTAGAAGGATTCAAATAACACCTGGAGTAGATGGGAGAGTTGGCCCTGTGGTTATAAGAATGGGAGAGCTGTCCCTCATCTCCACCAGCTAGGACACATGCAAGAGCAGACCCCTCACCTTGCCTAGGCAACACAATGGAGCCAACCCCGTTGCCACAGGTATGCATGAACCAGCCCCAAAGTAATGAACAAGGAAGAGCTGTCCCTATCACCCATCTTGTCCT